TCTCGACCCCTGCAAGGATGAGCGGATACCTATCAGCATATCTCGCCTCCAAGTCATCATGCTTGGTGTTGTTGACTACCTCATTATCATCTTCCTCGTCATTGTCGTCGTCACTGTCAGTGTCCTCCCCTCGCTCCCGCGCCAGCAGTTTCCGCTGCCTCTTCTTCCTCTCATCGTCCTTCGCCTTCCTCTGCCGCTTCGGCCTCGGCACGGTTCACTTCCCTCACGGATGGATACCTCGGCAACGGAGTCGGGTGATCCCTGAGGATGAGGTCCCTCGGCTGGTCCCCAATCTTAATGTCAGTATCAAGGGGTCAGGAGTTCAATTGAAGAGAAGGCATGAGGAAGGAAAACTTACAAGGACAATGTATCCTAGTTCCGGCCGCATCAGGGGATGGCCCGACACCGGGTACACAAAATCAAGGGGGGCGCCCATGCTGTCCCGAGAAGGCTCCATCGCCTTCTTGATGCGCTTACGCCACTTTGGAGGGGAAGAGCGCCACCTCGGCAAGCGTCGTCCCGTTGAATGACGCCCCGAGCGCCATCACGTACAGGGGAAGCGCGCCTCATCAGTGGTGCCACCCTCCCCGCATGGTAGGTGCCGATGATGCCCGACCCCTTCAGGCCCCTCTCCTTCAGGATTCGGATGGTGATGAGGTGGTCTTAGATCTTCTTCTTGTCCTTCTCTGGGAGACCCCACTTCCTCCACGAGTCGAAAACTCTTCGACTAGGCGCCCGGTGAACTTTGCAGAGGGGCGGTGTGTCATTCTTGAGATAGAACCAATGCGAATGTCACCCCTTGTTGGAGGTTGACAAACGCATTGGCGGGTATTCGCCGATCCGGTTGTTCCAGAGTTGGATGCTGGTGCATCCCATCGGCGTGTTCAACTCCCGCTTCTTCTCCGCTTCTTCTGAAGGGTGATGGCGAAGAAGTACCGCCACAGATCAAAGTGGGGACTGATCCCTAGGAATCCCTCACACAGGGCGACGAACGCCGCCATGTGCTAGATTCCATTGGGATTGAGGTGCTGCAACTCGATTTGGTAGTAGTGCAGCAACCCCCGAAGAAATTTGTGAGCAAGGGTAGCAAACCCCGCTCATGGAAGTGCACGAATGAGATGACGTAGCCATCGGGCGGTGACGGCACGTCCTCCTCGCGGGCAGTCGCCACTCCTCGGCGACGGTCCGCGTGTAGAGAAGACCACTACGGACAAGGCCCTCCATGCGCTGGATGGTGATATCAGAGTGGCACCATGACTCCATTGGAAGATGGGGGTGGGTGGATGCGAACTCGATGGCGGCTGAGACATGGATGCGGAGAGCTTAGGTGATTGGCGGTGGAGGTTGCAGATGCGAAAGTATGAAACCCTAGAAGCGAACCCTTTGGTTTTGGATGTGAGGAAACCAGCCATCTGCCTAGATCTCCGCGCCTGCCACGATCCACCACAACATCATCGCTGTGGGATATGCGTACACAATCCATATCCTTTCCTTCGAGAAACTCGCCGGACGTTTTGCCTCCCCGGGTGGACTGAGACTCATTACGAGTAAGAGGAATATGGATAAAAAACGCATCTACGGCCTGTCTGGGCCTAAGAGTTCAACGGTTGGCCCATCAACGGGTCCAACAGCCGCTCCAAGCACCCCTACAATAAGGGATGGAAAGAGCTAGGCCCCACAAGCAGCCAGCACCCAGGCGCACTAGCACCGCGGGCATCTCGGCCCACGATTGAGTCTCAGCCAGGCTTACCCTGACCGGGTCCTCACAAATGGGATACCGGGACCCCAATCAAACTATCCAGCTAAACAACCACCAAATCTCACGACCATACCCGCAAAGGGTCCGACCTCGGTGAAAAGGAATCACCGTCTTTTGGACACGCCGTGGGCAACAATAGAGGGCTAGGTCCCTCAGAGTCCCCTCTTTCAAAAAAACCTCCGAAGGAGTATTCTACTCCTTCGTAGTCTCGGGGGCTACACCCACTGGGTGCTCTTGCGCGCACCCACTGGCAAGTCAAAAAATCCCCTAGGCGATTCAAATCGAATCGTCTAGGGGCTCGGGGGCTACTGTCGAGGAACAATACTAGGGTACCCGAAGAGGAGGTGCTAATGACCATCAATGTTAATTCATCCGAGTGATCAAGAGCGCGACTACACCGCTTGCCAGGTCCCGCCTCGTACGACCACTAAGGCGGTGGGCCCTGCCTCGTCTGACCCCCGAGGGTTGGCTCCATCTCGGTGAGCACTGCGGCCACGGGCCCCGTCTCGCACGACCCCCGAGGGTTGGCTCTGCCTCGGCTGACTCCCAAGGGATGGCTCCGTCTCGCCCGACCCCCGAGGGCTGGCTCTGCCTCGCCCGACGTCCAAGGGCTAGCTCCGCCTCGTCCGACGTCTGAGGGCTGGGTTCGCCTCGCCCAACCCTCGAGGGCTGGCTCTGCCTTGCCCGATGTCTGAGGGTTGACTCAGCCTCGCCCGATGTTTGAGGGCTGGGTCCACCTCGCACGATGTCTAAGGACTGGCTCCGCCTCGTTCGACATCTAAGGGCTGGCTCCGCCTCGCCCGATGTCTAGGCTGGGTCTGCCTCACCCGACGTCTGAGGGCTGGGTCCGCATCGCCTGACGTCTAAGGGCTGGCTCCGCCTCGCCCGACGTCTGAGGGATGGCTCTGCCTCGCCCGATGTCTGCGCGCGACTCCTTTATAACGACGTGCGCAGATAAGGTAGGGCACTCAAGTCAACCGCGATACTGATGACCGTATCCTGCACGCCTGCAGGAAAGTACCATCAGACCATGCCAGAAGGGTGCTTTACGACCTTCCAGGCATGTCAGAGCCCAAACAGTGTTGTAGAAGCCGACATTTGCCTTACAGTGTTGTGGGCGCCGTCATTTGCCCTCGGGCACGGATCCTTACGGAAGCTCACAACAACCACTACGGTCCAGAAGGAAACTCGCATCATCCACAGTAACGGACGTGCGGTCATTGTGCTGCCTGCTCCCTGTATGGCCGTTGATCAGCTCCCTGGTACGCCGCGCCACCCGCCGGGGCGGGATGGGTCGTGACAACTCGCTGACAATGCCAGGACATGGCATCGTCAGCGGATAGACGCCCAACGCGACCCTGTCAGGGTCAGCGGACATGCGCCCGACGTGGAGCTATACCTGTCACCGCCTGCCATGTCAGTGGGGCCCGCACAGAGGAAAAGAAAGAACCCGGCGTCATTGAAGGACTTCATTTGCCTCACTGGTTTTCTCTTTTCTCCCATCTGTAATGCCTGCTCTCTCTTGGCTTATAAAAGGGAAAGTTGGGCACCCAACTAAAGGGATCGATTCATCACATCACGCATCACAGCAGAACCACTAGCGTCGAACCTCGAACACACAGTTGAGCAGTGACTTAGCTCTCTGCACCCATTCGATCTTTCTATCAGAGACTTAGGACCTGTCCCTCTCTCGTCCGTTTGTAACCCCTACTATGAATTTTTCAGTACTAATAACACAAGCAGCAGCCATGAACTGGACGTAGGGATATTCTGTCCGAATCCAGTATAAATCTTGTGTCTTTTTAGCACACCATCCGAGCCAGACGCGTAATAACACAAATTTACTCGTTGGTGTTTCCTTAAAATACCGACACTACTAATATAATATAAGGGATGATCTTGATCTGCATATTCACCTCGATTCCACCGCACCATGTTTTGTGCCTTGTCTCATTGTCTGAGTCTGACGGTGAGTTCGGGGACACTAGAGTGGATCATTCGCTTGGTTTAAGATTTCCACGTTATCATGAAATGGCATGGTCAAACAAATCTTTTTTTTTTTGAAAAGATCCAGAACATAGCTGGCATATATTAATAAGAAGATGAGAGAATTACATGCGCAAGCAGCGCTAACGGTTTCCCATGATTGACAGACTGTCAAGCTGGGCAAACAAATCTAGCATACCTTGCATTGGGTTTCGTATGACGAAATTATTAGTCTTACCACTTTTCTCTTCCAGGTTAGCTGATGTGTTTGGCTATTAGTCGATTGTTATATACTTATACCTGTTCTAAGCAAAGTGTATCCAATTAAGCTATACAATAATAATTTTTTTATTAGACTCATCCAATCTTCTATATGTTTTTTTATTTCTTCATGGCCTTCACTTTTCTATATTTTTCTCTCCTCCTGTCACCTCATGCTATCTCATTGTGTATTGGGTCATCACACCGTACAAATGCATGCCCACGCTGCCATGCAGCAAAAGCTGTAGTTTCTCCATAAAAAAAGAATGTAAATCTCGAAAAATCTTAAATTTGACCAAGTATGCAGAAGATGTTATCTATATTTAGATCTCTAATTAAATTTATTACACAAATATATCACATGATTAATCTCATGATACTTATTGCGCACAATAAACATCAATACCTTTTTATAAGCATTTGATCAAAATTAAAAATCTTTGACGTATTCCTGGAGACGTGAGATTTACATTCTCTGTGGGACTGAGGTAGCAGAATCGTATTGGCATGCGTGTTGCGATGGTCCAGCGTCGAGCTGGCTTACCTCTCCTTTCTTCTCTCTTTCATGCCATCCAAAGTGTTGACTTGCAAAATATATAGAAGTATCTGCTACATATCATAATTCCAAATCACATAAACCCTAGCTGCCTTTTTGCCCTTTTCTCCAGAGGTAAAAAACTAATAAACGAGATATCATTACGCCTCAGCACACACGCTGAATATCATTACGGCACCAGGATCACGAGATATTTCGTGGAAAGTACGGCTTGCTTCCGGACAGGGCGCTCAGCTGGACGCTTAGCCTCTGCGTTGTTTCCTGCACAAGGCTACGGAGCAAGCAATGCGCGCTGCAAGCTGATGCACGGCTGCCCGCCTGCCCTCATCCTCTCGTCGCTGATGCACACGCATATATATGCGCTGCCGCGCTGCACCAACCTTCCAATACGATTTCCTTCCAAAAAAAAAAAAAGCTTCCAACACGTAGGATACTACGATGCCTCGTGCCGGAACACTGCTGCTTCTGCTCCTCGCCGTCACTGTCTTCGCCGCGAGCTTGAGCGCCTCTGAATCCATCGGCGATGGAAGCCAGCAGGTCGGACGGATCATCTATCCATCAGCATGCATGCAGATTTTGTTGCTGCCAGTAGCTATACCATGCGTGCTTGTAGCATGTTGGTTGTGTCTTGTGTTCTTTTCTCAAAGTAATTTTATCGCATCTGCTTGGTCGTGATAAGCAGGTCTACATCGTGTACCTGGGGCATCTACCGCCCAGCACGGATGCGTCAGAACCTGAAGGTTTCTCTGCTGTAGAATTTGCTCATCACGACCTGTTGAATCAGGTCCTCGACGACGGCAGGTAGAGAACTCTCTTTTTTTACCACAGAAGAGTAGCAATCCAGGCCTCTGTTTTTATTTGGTCAGGCTATTAGTTGTCAAAGAAACGGATATGAGTGTCCCAACGGATTGGAAGAGCCAATGTTGGCTTCGAAAACGAAAGAAAACATAGAAAAAGATTATTTTTATACAAGAGCTAATGTATTTTTTGTCTTTTGCAGCTCTGCTTCAGACAGGATTCTCCGTAGCTACAAGAGAAGCTTAAATGGCTTTGCCGCCAAGCTTAACAAAGAAGAGGCACATAAACTGTCTGGTTTGTGACAATTAACATGCTCTTCTTTTCAGTCATTTTCTTTTGTGATTGTGGATTGAGGTTTATTTGTGACCTATGTCACAAGGACGTAGAGACATCAGGGATAGCTGGATGAACCCAAACATATATATCAACTTTTAATTGATATTCCTCGCAAAAAAACTTTTAATTAATATATCAACGAATTGTAAAGCAAGCATCTCTCTTATACTTTTTCCTTGTTACCTTTAGGCATGAATGGCGTTGTCTCAGTCTTCCTAAGTAGGACGCTCGATCTTTTGACCACAAGATCCTGGGATTTCTTGGGCTTCCCTCAAACGCCCATTGAAGAGCTACCACTAGAGGGAGACGTTATCATCGGTATGCTCGACACTGGTATATGGCCTGGCTCGCCATCCTTCTCTGACGAAGGCTTTGGCCCACCACCGAGCAGGTGGAAGGGTACATGCCACAACTTCACATGCAACAAGTACGAAAAGACCTTTTCTTCTTTCACTTCTTCTATATTTCAGGTGTCTAAATTTTAAGATGATTTTATACAACATTCTTGTATAACCAACTAGTAGAAATAAATTATTACTTTTGTGATTTGTTATTTAACTTTGTATTATAACATATTAATTTTTTTTGTCCTTATCTGATTACAGAAACAATTGTAAATTGTTAATTCTCATTGTGTCCATACAGATCAGTCTTGCCTAATGGATTTTTTATTCTTAGAACAAAAAAAATACAGATTAGGCGTACGTAAATTGCAACGAACTAAAGTTACAATTTAGTATAAAATATATACAATAGCCATCCGAAGCTAAAATTCATACACCTAAATTTTAGCTTCCCTTTCTTTTTAGTGTCTAGCTAGCTTAAATAAGCTGTTTGAGATATCCCTTATTTGTTAGTTAGGAGGCAAAAATTTATCAATAGAACGGTTCAATTAAAGCAAAGAAAAACCGCCTAACAAAGTAGTACAGGGCCTCAACTTTTATCTCGTCCAAAGGCCCAAAACATGACACAGACTCACAGGTCAATTATGGCTTGACATGCAGTAAAATCATCGGAGCACGTGCCTACCACGGAGGATCCAGCAGCTCTGGATGGCCTGTCGCCACTGGACGATGACGGCCACGGCAGCCACACGGCGTCCACCGCGCCCGGGCGTGCGGTGGCCAACGTTAGCTTGTACGGCTTGGCCGCCGGCACAGCTCGCGGCGCGGTGCCCGGTGCCAGGCTCGCCATCTACAAGGTGTGCTGCAGCGAGGCCGACATCCTTGCAGGATTCGACGACGCCATCGCTGACGGTGTGGACGTGATCTCCATCTCCATCGGGAGTCGCTTCCCATCTGACTACTTCAGCGACGTGATAGCCATCGGCGCCTTCCACGCCATGAGGCGTGGGGTGCTCACGTCCGCATCGGCCGGGAACTCGGGGCTCGTTGGCGGCCGAGTTTCCAACGTCGCGCCATGGATGCTGTGTGTGGCGGCGAGCAGCATCGACCGTCAATTCATCGACAGGATTGTTCTTGGGAACGGCGATACCATAGTGGTCAGCGCTGAACCCTAACTTTTTATACTATGTCCTTATATTTGTTTTCACAGAAATCAGAGTCTGAATGAAAAGGTCAACCATTACAACTGTTTTCTTCTGTTGCAGGGAGCCTCCGTTAACACCTTTCCATCGATAGCAAATGCTACACTTGCATTCCCTGCCAACGGGTAAGACGATGACAATGTCATACATACATACATATATACATACATACAAGTGTTTATGGTTTTTTTGCTACAATAATGTAGGTCATGTGATCCAGAGAACCTCGCCGGAGGTCCTTACAAAGGCAAGATCGTCCTCTGCCCACCCCAGGAGGGCCGTTCGAACGGCGTCTCAGGCCCTTTCTTGGCCGGTGCAGCAGGTGTCGTCTTAGTCACCCGTGCGCCCGACGTCGCTTTCACTCTGCCTCTCCCCGGTCTCACGGTAACTCAGGACAAGTTCGACCAAATCATGGCGTATGTCAACAGCACTAGGTGAGCTCAATGACCATTGCTAGATTGCCAGATCGATGAACTATACTATATATCCCAGTTCGTGTCTGTTGTGCAGTAATCCTGTGGGTACCATAGACCGCACCGTGACTACGGGCAATCCACAAGCTCCAGTGGCCGCCTCCTTCTCTTCTCCAGGCCCCAACTTGGTCACCCCTTCGATCTTGAAGGTGCCTGATCGATGATATTCACGAACAATCTTCCATCATTTCATGGAAATGTCGCATTTAAAATTAAATATTCTCTCTACAACGTTCAAATGTGTGCAGCCTGATCTATCTGCGCCGGGGGTAGACATCATTGCCTCATGGTCACCGCTGTCATCACCCTCGGGCAATCCTAACGACACGAGGAAGGTTCAGTACAACATCATCTCCGGCACATCCATGGCGTGCCCACACGCGAGCGGAGTCGCCGCCTATGTCAAGTCACTCCACCGTGACTGGTCGCCGGCGATGATCATGTCGGCTCTCATCACCACCGGTACGATGACCGTGTAAACCACCATTTCATAGATCGATTGCACCTCCAATAGACTTTGGTATATCATTTCCACTAATTTAATTTGTTCATCTCGGTGAACAACTTGCAATATCATGATATCGCAATGCATGGTGCTCATCATGTATGCAGCCACTCCAATGAACACACCGGGCAACTCCAACATGACCGCGCTCAAGTACGGCGCCGGGCAACTCAACCCAGCAAAGGCGGACGACCCGGGCCTCGTGTATGACGCATCGGAGGGCGACTATGTGGCTATGCTGTGCGCGCAGAATTACACCGCCGAGCAGCTCGCACTCATCACCGGCTCCAACACCACGTCCTGCGCTAATAATGGCTCGACGTCCGGCACACCCAGCGACCTCAACTACCCGACTATGGCGGCCCGTGTGGAGCCGGGGATGAACTTCTCCGTGGTCTTCCCTCGCACTGCCACCAACGTCGGGGCCGCGGCCGCCGTGTATGACGTGAAGGTCGTGTTTCCTGTTGAGGCGGTCAATGACCTCACCGTTGTTGTGTCGCCGAGCAGACTAGAGTTCAGCGCGCAGGGCCAGAAGATCTTGTTCACCGTGGGGGGTGTCCGGCGTGGCGATGGAGGAGGGCAGGGTCCACTCGGGTGCCGTCGTCTGGTACAACAACGAGCATGAGGTGAGGAGCCCGGTGGTGGTCTACGCAGCGTCGGACGACTCCCGGCCTCCCAGCAAAATGGGGTTTAGACAGTGAAGGAGCTGCCATCCAGGGCTTGAGTTTTGTGCGGTTGTTTTAGCTCCTCCAAACAATCAGATTTCTTCCATGTACTTACACTATAGCTATATTTACACCATCTTATTACTATATTTATAATGATTTCGTCAGTATAATTTATTGGACATAGTGATATAATTTAGGGATAATTGCAGATCTCAGATAAATACATGCCAATTTTTTCAAAAAAATTACAAATTATTTGTATACATCCTTGCCTGCCTGCACCAAGGGATGAAAAATTGGCAAGTCCTCCAGAACTTCTACAATGGGTTAACCCCCTTGTCAAGAGGACATATTGATGCCGCTGCTAGAGGAGCCTTCCTCTCACTCACCATAAATGGAGCTATGGCTCTCATTGGGAAAATGGTGTCCAATCAATGGTGGGGTGATGAGAGGCTCCAAGATGAACAACAAAAAGGCATGCATACCATGAAGGAGACGGATATACTTGCAGCAAAAATAGACCTCCTAATAAAAAGGCTTGATCAGCGTGCCGATGAGAAGGAGGCAATATACGACACCGTCAAGGCCATGGACTTGCATATGACATGCGAGGTTTGTGGTGAAAGTAGATATTTGGAGAACGATTGCCCTGAAACCCATGAGGACGACACCTATATCAACAACAGGTTCCGTCCACGAGGAGGTAATAACAGGTGCAATAATCAATCACATCCACCATTTAAAGAAGTTAATTCAAACTTCAATTCCAATTATATTTCGAATCAACCTTTCTTGACAGATCTTGTGTTCGGGCAAGCTCAAATAAATGAAAACCTAATTAAAAATCTTGCCTCTAATAATAAAATTTTGGAAAACATTAATCCAAATTTAGAAGGCTTAACCTCTTTTTTCACAAATCAATTAAGCCTTAATAAAATGTTTGAAATCCAATTAGCTCAACTAGTCGCTATAATTCCTGCATATCATTTTAAAAATATCTCGTGGCAATCCGAGATTTCATTTAAAAATGTCAATGTGGTAATCATGAGGGATGGTAAGTCCACTCGTGATCTACCATATCCTAACCATGTTGGAAAAGCCAAAAAGCATAGGGGTACAACCCTGAACAATAGGCTTTGAGCTAGCTTGGGGATGGCCCCCATAAGGTAATGTGTATCTTGCACTCTCACCATTTTTAGTTATCTTGCTTA